GTGTCAAATTGTCAATTAACCCGACCTCATTACTTATGTGAGCAAATTAAACTACTCTTTTTTAGGAGGTATGTAGAATAAAGTTCAGCGCACATTAATCATATAGCTAGCTAGCTACCTAGATCTATATAAATCGTGAATGGACTTGGAGATTTTTCAGTTCAGTTCCCCCTATCAAAATGAAAACTATCGGTACAAAGTTTGTAGTAGTTGTTGCCGTGCTTGCCGCCCTCGTTGGTGCCTTACTGATATGTTTGGTTCGGTACCTTTGGAAGAATTGCAAGTATGTCCCTTGTGGGACTAAGAGAGAAATTTATCAAGAGGGCTCCTACGAAGAACATTAAACAGGCTAGGGTACGTGGTATGAGGGAGGTGCATGGCTGATCGAGCCACAGGGGCTTCAGATTACAATACATCTCATATCATACAAACATGTATACACAAATAAATGTCTAGCTCTTTTGAAATGATATACTACTCTGTTCTGCAAAAGGTTCGTTATATGCTCTGTTCTACAAACTTTGAATAATAATTTTAATTATTATATTTATATATTCCGTATAATTTATAAATTTTATACTTTACGAAGATTATTTTTGGATATGGAGCATTTGATATAATTTTCAAATTTTAAATGATTTTATATTAGAAAATATCATTAGTCTAATTGATTGTCATTGACCAATAAAAATCAATTTGGCGAACATTTTGAGCAGTGAGGGAGTATATATTTACGTACGTCCTCTTTTTAAGTACCTATCAATTATATATTGTTAAGGATGGATAAGCTACAATATTGATGTGCTTTTGTGTTATTGGTTCCTGTAAGGAATATTTCTCTCAGCTCCCCTATAATTGAAGAGAGAATTCACTAAACAGGAGTAAAAATGTTTTGAAATTCCAAAATAAGATTGTCATGTTTTTTATTTCCCTGAATATGAGTAAATTTCGGCTAAGTCTGACATTACTAAGCTTTAAACATGATTTTTTTTTCAAATTTGGCAGATTACTCCTAATCAGGGAATAAAAAACATGATAGTCCTATTTTAGAATTTCAAAACATTTTTACTCCTATTTAGGGTAATATCTGATTTGAATACTGCTAATTAAGCATTGAGAAATTCACAAAATCGGCCAGACGTTTATGAATGGTACTACCTCCGTAACATTGGGATGTTCCCATTTGAAAAGTAGGTAGATTAAGAATAGTGAAAGAAGATATGTATTATTGGGGGTATGATGAGAAGATAGTGAAATAATGTGATGGAATGAAGAACAAATCCAAAAAAAGTAGGTGTAATAGTGTATTATTTTTAAAATTATTGAGGGTATGATGAGAAGATTTTTTTTCATAAGAATTCGGCTTATATTGATAACAAATAATTCAGAGTATGGGTCAAATGACAAAAAGAAATCTGACAACCGTTATTCCTTGAACCAGACTCAGAATTAATCGCCGTAGCAATATAATTCGATGATCCATAACTGGAAAACAAAAAGCCCAAAACGGTTACCATATTCCTCTCATCCCCCATATCCAAAGTCAACGTCTTACAAATTGGGAGATAAATGAAAAAACAACACCAAAACAAAAGCAACAATTGCTGAAGTAGCAAATAAAACAAAATAAAAAACACTCCTGTCGTAGCCAAAAAACTCGAACCATTCCTCTGACTTGCTGCCTCCAACCTTCAACCAGCATCTTCGGCGGGCTTAAGGAGCAAAGCCCGTCTCCTCCCCGTTTTTTGCCCCATCCATAGCCATGGTGTCCTCCACTTGCTCCTTCTCTGTCTGGGTCTCCCAGATCTTCCTCCTTTTAGAAACCTCTTCTTTTGGCTCCTCCCCTCCTTGTGTAAACCTTTGGGCTGATTAAGTCATTAACACTTTCTCCTTTTCTGCCATCTTTTCTTCTGATTTGGATGCCCCTGGACCGCCACCCGTTCTGCCAGAGCTCGATGAACCCTCCAAGAGCCATTTATTACCTCTTGTTGGGCTTGTCTTCACCCCGCTACCTGCTCTAAGTTGGGTTCCAAATCTTTTTTCTAAAACTAATCCTTCCTCATAATTTAAGGGACATAAAGTATCTGAATGTCCAATCAAACCACAAATAAAGCAAAAGTTGGGTAATCTTTCATATTTAAAATCCACCAAAAAACTTTTACCATCTTTTTTCAGATTCGTCCCCTTCTTCAGCGATTTATCCATCATCATAAGAACACTAACCGTCATATATGGCTCTAATCTATCACTTTTCTGGTTATCATCATATTTAATAAATTCCCCTATAAAATTTCCAACACGTCTGGCAGTGCCTAAATTTACAAGACTATAGGGGACATTATGAATCTGAACCCTAACCCTCATATATGGCTCTAATCTATCACTTTTCTGGTTATCATCATATTTAATAAATTCCCCTATGAAATTTCAAACACGTCTGGCAGTGCCTAAATTAACAAGATTGTAGGGGACATTATGAATCTGAATCCAAAATTCAGTCTCATTTTAAAAAAAATTGTGTGGAATATCATCAGGCAAAACCTCTTTTAACATTAACAGACTACGCTCAAACTGTCAAGGACCTCCTTCAAGCACACGCTTCATATCAAAATGATGGTTAAAACGAAAACAGATACCTTTTATTGCCAATTTCTTTCACCAACATACCTTTTCCCGGCCTCTAAAGTGTAAGCATCGTTTCTTTGAGATCCGGGAATTTGACTTTGCGCTCTGTCAGTACTTGGCCAATCACTAGGAAACTCGTCGCCGCCGCCTCTATCAAACCTTCTTCAACCTCTCCTTCATCGAGGTTTAGCTCTTCTTCATCATCACCAATCGCCATCTGCTTGTAACGATCAACAAAATGTTCCATCTACCTTCCTAATTCCCCCGGCGATATCCCTTCTACTGCAAGTCATGATAACAGCAACCACCAACACGAAACCCTACTCTCGGTTTCGTCGTGCCTTCCCTAGCTTCTGAATGGCCCATATAAATATTCAAGACCACCGCCCTATCCTCCAATCCTAATCGCGTTGCTGTCCCGACTTCCAACAGCACCGCCCAACTCCACCCATCAATCTCGCCCTTCGATAAACACGAAAGCGGACAAAACAAGGCTAAGGGTTATCAGCCGATAACCCTAGAGAGAGAAAAGCTTTTTACAAGTTTCTTTTGGGTATGATGGGAAGATTTAGAAATGGGAAGATATTAATGTTACGTCCAAAAAAGGAAAGTTGGAAGATATTTTTACGTTACGGAGGTAGTACATTGGTACTACATCTGCTGCATTAATTAAAAAAGTAATACGCTCCCGTCTTCATATTATAGGGAGTACTTCCTCTATGACTTAAAACATTCCCAAATTTGAATTGTATAGAAAAAATAAAGTAAATCTATGTTATAGATATTTATGCAGAGAAAAAAAGAAATACTAGAAATCACAAACCTATTGAATAAAAAAGAAAATGACAAAGTTATAAGAAACAGCCTAGTATCATTTATGGGGGTGTCCTCAATAATGATTTTAATGGAGTTTACAATTCCGTCAGAATCCAGGTGTCCCCAATTTGGATTTCTGTGGAGTCCATGAAAATAAGGGTGTCCTCAAACATTCCATGGATTTCTATTGTTACTAATTTGGATGGATTTTAATGGATTTTGATGGAATTCTACATACAAAAACAATCCACCACAATCTTTAAGATTTCCCTCGGATTTCAAAATCCATGGTCATTTAAAATCCATCAAACTCATAATCCAAGACACCCCCTTAGTCAACCCCACACGTTAGGCAATCGGAATGAGCATCGGCTCTTACCTTTTCAGTTTCCATCAATGTGGATTGTGGGGTATTAATTGATGGAAATTTGACTAAAACTAAATGAGTTTCTCAATCTATGATCTAATTAGTTTTTCAACTTTTGTATGATTTAAAACTAAAAAAAGAAAAGAAACCTCGTTTATATTTAAAGGTTGAATTGCGAAAATACCCTTATTTAAAATATGTGGATTATGCACTAATTTCGTCTAATTAAAATTAATGCACTTTATATTATCGTTAATTCGTTACTGCACGAGACTATTGTACATTCAGTAATAATCACTGCACTTCCGCAAAAAGTAATCCTCTTCTCATTCACTTTACGAGATCATTTATTGTTTTTACTTTTTATTGTTTTAGATTTAATAATTTTACATTTGTGGAGGCTGAATGTTTTCTTTTAGACTAACTAAACATTATTTTATATTAACATATACTACTTCCGTTCTCTTTAAATTGCAACATTGGACTTTTTGCACTATTCACATATTCTACTTTGACTATATTTTATTTATTAATGTATTATAAATTAATTTTTTGTAAAAATATTGTTAAATTAAAATTCTTTTTAATTTATTTACTAATAAGGAATGAAAGATGTTAATGGTCAAACTTGTGCATTGACAAACGTGAAATGTTGACTGTTGCAATTAAAAGAGAACGGAGGAAGTACCACGCAGGTGTTTTGAATGTATCTGATTTACTCCGTACTTTTCAGTAAAATCAGATGTTACTTAAAACATGGGTGAACATACGTGATGTTTCTTTTTAGTAAAATACTACGTATGTTGTATCAACAGTTCTTTTTTTGTTGAGGGAATTGTATCAACAGTTCATAAAAGCTTTTTTGGATCACCTATTTCATCAAGTGACTTCATTAATGTCTTTGGGATAAGTTGAATATAGCAGACTTTCAATTTCAACTTGATTTTCCCTGAGTTGCAAGTTAATTTGCCACTGCTATGGGCTATTGGCATGACTTTAACACTGTGATTCAACATTTCATTTAGTTGAAGTGGGGTTTTATCCTCTTTGCATGAAGGCATTTGCTGACAAAAAAAAAAGTTCATGGCTTTGATGTGCTTACATGACAACTCAAGGATGCTTTTGCTCCTTATTTCACAATTTCAGCAAATGTTGTTATCTATCCGTCCATCGTTAAAAAAGGGGGGAATTTGCCCTCTTTTATGCCCATCTAGGATGCTTAAATGTGCTTTAGTGACAACTCAAGGGGTTTTGCCCCTTTTCCCAATTTTATTTGTACATAACGAGTTAATCTGAAAACTATCCATCTATGTGTGAATCGCAGAATGAATTTAATACGATAACCTTTAGTAATATCAACCCAATTTTCCATAAACACTCAATTCCAGAAATCGAAGCGTTTAACTGGCTTCAGCAGTCTTTCAAAAAAAAAACTGGCTTCAAAAGTACAATATGATCACTTCTTCGTAGACTCCCTTCCCTCCATTGTGTTATTCGATTCGATTACGGATTGCCGGCCATGCAATAGGGTGCTCGTAGCTTTCTCTTCAACTCCTCAGATTTCATCGGCAGTTCAGATCTCCATCCTCCTCAGACATAATTTCTGAGACTAAGCAAAGCCCCCCATGGATAAGCTGAAGACAAAATTTACATGGAGGATCGAGAATTTCTTGCAACTGGAGGTTGAAAAGCTTTACTCTGTGACGTTTCTCGTGAGTGAGAAGAAATGGTACCCCCTCTAGTGTTGGTGAAAAATTATTATTTGATTTAGCAGGTTGTCATGTGTGTGAATGAAGGTTTAGTTTGTATTTTCATGACATTATTATTTTTGTTCTTCAGGAGGGTGCTCCTTTTTCCCAGAGGAAACAAGACAATGAAGATTGAAGATCATATGTCATTGTACCTCGATGTGGCTGATGCGTCTAGCTTACCCAATGGCTGGAGTATATCAACAAATTTCAGTCTAACTCTTATAGACCAGATAGATAGCAAAAGAACCACCAAGAAAGGTACTTTCATAGAAGAGGACATATTCTCTCAGACTTCTTTCAGTTCTAGATCAAATTAGAGTAGGTTAGACTTGAAGTAGCTTGACCAACAAAACTCAGTCGAGGGTATGAATACCCTGCTGTTTCTGTTAGGAATAAAACTTACTCAACACGAAGAACAATAAGAAAGACACAAAATTTGGTAACCCGCGAATTGCTACGTTTGGGGGCGCTGCCAAGCCAGGATGTTACTATTATTTTTTGATAGTGATTACAAGGAGAGCGTGTATTTATAGAGAGCAAAACCTAACACCACCCATAGTTGGATTGACGAAATGGGCTTGGTTATACAATCTCTAACACCTTACAGTTTCTTTCTGCATTTATTATTGAACTGATCTTTAATTAATACTAGCAGGTGTCAAGATAGCCTAGATTTTAGAAAGTAAGTCATCTTGAAATTACTTTTGGATATGATGCAGAGGAAAATCACACTTTCCATGCTAAAGAAAGGGATTGGGGTTTCCACAATTTTATCCCTCTCAGTGATCTTCATGATAAAAGTGGAGGGTATCTTGTTGAAGACACGTGCTTGATTGAAGTTGAAGTAAACGTGCCTGATCATGTTTCCCCATGTGTCAACAATAAAGTATCAAGTTCATTTTGATTTAAGCCCGAGTATTTTTATATCTGCGTACTATTATTGTCCCAGTTTGTCTTGCTACATTTTAAATGACTCTTTTTTCTCCATTGTGATCAGGCTTTAGATTCTTCTGTTGCTGATTTTGATCATGCAGAAACTGCCTATGCCCAGGGTCAGGCTTTTCTCGAGTCCCTGCGACCCAAGAAACTGTCCACCTCTGTACCTCCTAATAGTGCTTCAACATTTGAAATGTCTTTGCTTAAAGGAAATGCAACTCATTTTAAAGAACTCCTTGACATACTGATATCATCCCCTCTGGATGATTTAGCTAGTCCTGAGAGCGAAGCTGCAGTATTGAAATATTTTTCCTCACTGAACAACACTTTCCTACATGTTAAGGGTGGGAGTAGTGAGTATCCCTGGTCCACTCTTGAGAAAACCAAAACCCTTCTTGAAGAACTACTGAAGACAGAGGAGGGATTAAAGACTGAATTGGAAGGGCTAAATAAGAAAGAAACGGAGTTGGAAGCTCAACTCGAGGCAATGGAATGCAATTGTCGAAAACTCGAAGACGAAAGAGAAGTGTTGTCAAAGCAGATGGTGACAGTCTGTTCTCTTGCCAAGGAACATGCTCGGAAAGTTGAATCAAAGAAGGCTAAGATGGAACAGGATAAAAACAAGGTGGAGCTGAGCTTGAAGTCTAAATGGACTGCAACTAAACATCTCTTTGCATGAGAATTATGAGCTGTCTAGTGTCCATTAATACATCCCACTTCCCAAACACTTTGTTTTCTGTTACCAGTCAAGGGATTAGATTTTAACCTACTTTTGTAAGGTTTGGTTTGAAGAAAGGGGATTTACATAAACGCGGATCTACTATAAACATTAAACACCTTTTACTTATCAGTTTATAATGCTTCAAAAGTGTTTTTGGATTATCATTATTCAATGAAATGCTTCTTTCAAAAGCATTTTTATGTTTTTGACATGTTTAAATAAATTTGCTTAACTCATTGATAAGACTAGCTGATTGTCCTAGGTACTTAATTGATCTTCGGCAAGTAATTCAAATGTTTTGAAAGTATCATTTAAAATGGTGCAACTCACTTGAAGTGGTCGGCCGTCTTGAGCAGTTAAGCAAAAGGATTCACTCATAAACTTTTTGTGAGACCTATTCTTGAAAGTATGCTCCAGTTCTTCATATGTAAATAGCGTGTATACTAGCCGTAACTTCAAGACAAGTCGAAATGTAATTCGCGTGTATGCAAAATGTAACGTGTTAAGCCAAATCAGAATGTAACTCGCGCACGTGAAAATGTATACCGCACATAAGTTGTAGCTTGCGCAAATGAATTGAACATGTAAATTGCGGATAAGATGTTACCCCATGTACTATCAAATGTAAATCTAGGAATCGTGTATAAAAATAACTTTCACATATGAAAATGTAAATCGCACATATGAAATATAATTTTATGTTATATGGAGTATTAAATTTGAATCGAAATAAACAAACTCGATAACTTAAGAAACCACTAAAAACATACTACGTATAAAAGAGAAAAAACAAATGAGTGTGAATAAAAAAAATACTACCCCGTTCCTAAAAATCCTTCCTGGTTTGACTTGGCACGCCTATTAAGAAAGTGCAAGAAAGTGGAAATGTATGGCTGTGGTTGTGTAAGAAAAAGGTAAAATGAATGTGAGCACACAAATTGTCCAAAAAGGGAAAGTGAGAAGAATTTTTGGGAATGACCCAAAAAGGAAAGTGAGAAGTTTTTTTGGGAACAGGAGTATTACAAAACAAAATCAATTGAAATTTTCAAGATAAAAAAAATTAAAATCACAATAAAAGTATTTTAATGGAGAAGGAGAAAAGAATTGAAGAAAATAAAAGATATAATCACAAAATTATAGGAAAATGAATGAAATGATCGATAGTGCAACACAGAAGATACTAAAGGGGGTGCAAACAAAGAATATATTGAAGAGGGAGTGCAAAATTTAACGTAAAACTATGTTGTTTAATGTGTGGGAGTAGGTTGCCGATCATACGGTATAAGAGCATCTTTAATGGGATCGTGAATTAGGTAAAAATGGATTGCCCCGTCAAATAAATACACATTGAGGTTAATTAATTGCTCCAATGGTGATGTAGAAACGAAATGGACTGCTGACTTGGAATGCATTAGATGGCAAACCTTCTACTTCTCTATGGATTCTCAGAAGGCCTTTTCCATAGTTTGAGTCATCAATTTTGTTTGCTACAGAAGTATTTGCCGCAAGTAAAATTATTCCATTGGTTGATTTAATGATTTTTTCCTTTTCTCTTTTGTCCTTCGGGCATACTACGTGTGACTAATTTTGTGCATCCATGATTGCATTGAAACGATTCCTTTATTTTAAATGTCCATTTATCCACCTCACTTGCACCGGCCTTCTACTCGAGTAACGTGTCCATTTTTTAAGGGATACAATCCACTTTTTCATTACGGGTCTTCTTGGCGCACCGCAAGTATTTCTTTGCGCACCTATTTTTGAACAGTTGTGGACAATTATACCCATGCATAACTTCTTTTGTACTATGTATTTCGTAACCGTCATTCCTTGTGTTTACATTTTTTGCAGTAGGGTTATTACGGAGTCTTACTGCTCCAGGACTCCGTATATATATGTTTTGAAAGTCTCCGTATATTAATAAGTAACACTTCTCAATAAAGTGTATTCATATTTTAATAAAAACTTTAGAAATTTGGTTTAAAAAAAACTTTAGAAATTGATAAATTAATATCTTTATTTCAAAACTATAGTCAGTTTTAGAGTTATTTAACTCTATTAATATTGTTTATCACTTTATTGATGCTATATTACTTTCTCCTCTGTATTTATTTTAGTATCAATATAAAGATGTTTGTTGATGCTATTTAAAATAGTAGATAAAATATTGGGGTAGTTTGAATTTGCATTTCATTTTATTGTCCAAATTAGACTTTCATCTTGTTTTAAAAAACTTCGTATTTGTACCCCAATCCCATATAAAAAGACAAAATTGTCCCTCTATTAACAACAATATTGGCCTTCAACGTATTCCTGATTGAGGGAAATTGTTGTCTTTTCATACGGGGTTGAGGTGCATATACAAAGTTTCTTAAAAATGGGGGCAATTAGAATTGACAGAAAAAATTAATTTAATCACAAAATGTCAATACATCTATGATTTATTACATCGCACATTTTCATTTCACATAGTGTACAAAAATTATAGAGTTAATATTTTAACAAAAAAAAATCTTCCTTTTTAAGTCTTTCATTTTTTATATTTCAATGGCAAAATTTAAAATTATAATTTATTTTTGGGTTTTTTTTTAAATTTTTATTTATTTATTTAAAGTCAATAAATGTAAATTTGCTTCTTTATAGGAACATTAGTGATATTTTTGCATCGACACACAAACACACACATTTAAACATCAAAACTATTTTCCCTCAAGATTCGGTTTTAAATAAATCTGTAGCTATAAATATTACATTGTTAAGCTTGACCTAGTGTTATTTTGAATTTAAAATTAAAATTACACGGAGCATTGATTTTAAAATAAAGGAGTCCTTCTCAAAATTTTATGCGGATATGAACTAAAAAGAAAAATAAGGAGTGTGGGCATTTATGTCTAAAAGAGGTGCGGCAAGTAAGTTTAGGGGTGCATAAAGCAACCCTTTCATTAACGGGATGAATATGGAGCCTATCTCGACACATGGCAAACCTTCGTAATCTTGTCGGTTATTAATTTTTTCTTCATATTTCATAAATAAATGAATATGGAGCATAAGGGAAAAAACATCCCCGAGCGAGCATGAGCGAAAGTAGGGCTCCACATTGGGCTGGTGGGTTTGTTATATTTTTTTGGACTATCCAATTTTGTCGGGTTGGCATGGCTATTAACTAGATCACAATATGCAATATATAAGTTGTTAAATCATACATAAACAGGTCTGGTAGGGTCATGTATTGAAATTAAAGAAGATCCCTTCAGGTTGGATCTTTAATGTGTGCAACTAATGCAGTTAATATGAAACTCATATAACTTGTTTCCAAAATACACAAATTAAATTAATAGAAATACCTTTTATAAGCATAAACTTAATTGGGCAACATAGTATCAAAACATCTTGTGCAAAGGAAGTTCGTTCATTTAGAACCAAATGTAAATATATACTACCTCCATCCCACTAACATTGAGACATGAGGAGGTAGTGCTCTAATTAAGAAATGTGAGTTTATATAAGGGGGGATCTATGTATGGGTTATGGTGAACTGAAGCTCAGGGCAGTTTAAAAAAATCAACTTTTTTAGTGTAAATTTTTTAAATTTTCATATTTAGCTCACTCCATTAATGTTTAAGCCTAGTATAATTGCTTTTCAGCCCAGGGTATCTCGAATTCTTGGATTCGCCTCTGGTTTATATGATTAATAGTGAATTGATAAATTAAAAATAAAGTGAGAATGATTTAGAACTACATACATACTATCAAATTTGGTGTGTGACAGTATTAGTGAGACGCACTAAAAGAAAAAAAGACAAGACAATTTTAGTGGGACGGAGGGAGTAATAATCACCTAACCAAAATGGTAGATGTTTATAATTCTAGTATCATAGTCTTAGATAATAAAAGGAAACCAAATCAACGTAGCTCATCCCGGCCATAGTAAGACTGTAAGATATGCACCAACTGTCCTTGACCTCAAACCCTTGGTCAGACTTGTACTTGAGACGGTCGTACATTGACTTCTCACCCAACCTAGCCATTAACATCACCTCTAAGCTTGCATAGATGTTATTCCCGAACGTGTTGTACCCCGACTTCCCAGTCTTGAAGAACTTTGAGTTGCACGCGTCAAGAGGCGCGTCTTGTGCATGGAGACTATTAACATACGCATGCTACTTGAATATTTGAAATCATGCAGACACATACAAGCTATATGGAGAAGCACATAGTATAGTATTTAATTTCCCATGTAAAGTTTGTTTCAGTTTGTTGGAGTAGTTACGTAGATATGCTGCTTTTCCATTTTTGTATATAAAACTCTGTAACTCTGAACACTTCTGAGATATGAAATGATCATCTTCTTCCTTGCCTCTTCTTCAATACGCTAATATGGTATCAAATGTAAATAATCGTTCTCTGCGCATCCATTGATGATTTCTTAGGTTTTCATCATGGTAACCACTCATTCTAACATAAAAAATTCAGATCCTACTTCGGATCATCTCATCAATCCTTCTAATCCTCTATTCCTTCATCCAAATGAGAATCCGACATTGGTCCTTGTTCCGGTTCTTCTCACAGAGAAGAATTATCATTTATGGCGACATCAAATGCTTGCCATGCTCGAATCCAAGAACAAAGACAAATTCATCGATGGATCCTTTCTGTCACCCTCTATTAACGATCCATTGTACGAACCTTGGAGAAGGTGCAATCGTATCGTTATGGCTTGGCTTATGAGATCAATGACTCCCTCAATTGCAGAATCTGTCATTTACTTTGATACAGCTGCACAAATCTGGCAAGATCTTTCTGAACGTTTCTCTCATGGCAAAATGTTTCGCAAAGCTGTCCTAATTGATGAAATTCAACAAGTTCGTCAAGGTATATCATCTGTCACTCAATACTTTACCAGATTGTAGACATTATGGAAAGAGTTAGAACGATATCGCACTGTTCTAGTTTGCAAATGTGCAACAACTTGTTCTTGTGGAGTCCTTAATAAAATTCTAAAAGAACGAGAAGATGAATACATCATCAAGTTCTTACGTGGTCTGAATGAAGAATTTGCTCACGCTAGATCTCAAATCATGTTGATCAATCCTAAATAACAATAGTTTTTAACCTAGTTTTACAACATGAAAGAGAATTTGGATCCATGCCTGCACTTAATAGCATTGGTAACACCAACTTTAATGCAATGACTCAAG